TCAACGACACCTCGAATTTAATTGTACTTACTACAGATCTGCTCATGCTTGATCTAGCGGGTATCGATGATGTGGTATGTTATACTTCCTCACGCATAACGATCCGTGGCTGCAGATCAGAAGAGATCGATCTTCTCTCTCCTCAAGCGACGGAGACCGACCACAGAGTGCCCCAGCCCCTCCCCTGCATCTTAAATAATTTTTGAGCTGTATTTTTATTTCGTTTCTTCGACGCATCCGTATCGAATGCAGAACAGCTCCACCGAACTTGTAAGGCTGGCGTAGCCAATTTCGCCAAAATGTCTATGTTGTTTTCCTGGGATAGTTTGGTGTATCTTAATGACGATGTTGCAGAAAATTTCGACTGTTTCTTTTTAAACTAGCTTAGCGCATTTCACTTAGAGGATAGTTGTCTTAGCTTGTATTGCACGCGCCAGCCAGTCATTTTCAACCATATAGAAAGATTGGTTAAACGGACGCCCAGGAAACGCCAATTTTTATAGCTATCGGAACGTGGCGCCGGGTCCACGGATACTTTCCGCGGATTGTATAACCATGTGGGCAGGATCAATTCGGAAGACTATGTCGTATTTACCCTGTCCATTGAGCAGCTGTGAAGCTTTGCAATTACTTCTTCAAGTTGGTGGCCACTGATCTGAGGCCTATCCTCTCCTAGTCAGAAATTCAGGTCAAAAGCTCTTGGCCATACCCTGTTTTTATGGATAGGCTGACTGATATATCAAATCAATTCTCCCATTCCACTACAGACGGAAAATTGCCTAAGCTTGACTTAGAAGGACGACTTCGTCACGGTAGCGAAGACTGGTTAGCCAAACTCTAGGTGTTAATTCAACACCAAAATTCTGGTCATTGGCTTATTTGAACAGAATGAACGGCAGCCTATGGCCTTCTCAAACGATAGTTCTAAAATGAAACGGTTGAGAAAAATTGTTATGGACGAGAAATCGTTCAACAATTGAGCGATGTGGGCCGTAGGGATCTTTCAAAAACGCAGGCTATGATGTGGTCTAATATAATTGGTGACATAATGCAACCTCGACGAACATCCAGTCGAATTTCACACGGTTAGGTGAAATAGTTGTAACCAAGAGCTAATGCATCGGTAAAGCAGTAGCAGGTCTTTTGCTGCTTTACTATCTAGCTGGATTATCTGCCACATGAATTAATAAAAGACGAAGTCAGACGTTTGAGCGAAGTAAAAAGAAAACAGATAATTGTTTGTTTATGGTATTTATGAAGCAATTCAGGAATGCGCCGCATTGTAATTGTTGGGTTGGCAAGTTCACATCCAAGAATTTTGCACAAATTGCAATTAGCTGAAAATGCCAATGGCCAAGATCCTTGCATCATCGTAAATTACACTTAGATTGTGGTTATTCGCGCACTTGGTCTTGTTGCACTTCTTGCAGACTCAACAAATGTTGAGCCCCAGCCATTAGGGTCTACCTTATTTCCCCACGATGCAACTAGAGTGCTAGTGCTGACACAAGACCCTAATATTTTAATGCGAATACCGTACTTTCCAGACAGCTTGTTGTTGTGCGGCCAACGTATTTCATCAAAGGGAGTCACATGAAACTGCATGGGCTAGAAAGTGATAAAACTGATGCAGAAGAAAACAAAAGTTGAATAGATTGGTCAGCAAAATTGACAAGATGCTCGAAGTTTGACCTTCAGTGCCCGATCTCGTCCGAATTGTCATCAATTTAACCGCCATTCATATCGCAAGCAGTCGATTCGCGTATACTACCTACTACTTAATCGGCGAATAATTTGGCAGAGTTTGCGCATTTAATCAACATTAAAAACCTGGTCCTTGAAGCTTGTTATTTAACCTAATATTTTTACTGCCGTTGTCCGAAGCTAGCTGAAGAAGTAGTAGTTAAACCAAACAGTTGTAAAGTTCTTCTGCTGGTCAAGTCATTCTGGTGTCTCGGATAAATCCATTTATGTTGTTGATGGTCTCAAAGACTGGCTACTTTTGTAATTGACTGCCGTCCCCGTGGTACTGTTCTGCTTGAGCGCGGTCTAAATGCCCTTATTGATTCTGACAGCGGAAGCGAACGTTAGAGATCTGTTTTGGTTTCCATTCTAGGGCTTCTGTTAATGACAGTCTGATATTCTTTATGGCCTCTAGATTGCTCAAACAACCGCTCCAAATTATGTGCCATTTCAATCAGTAGGCTGGCCTCATCCTGGCTCTGTGGTGGTGTAGTCTCCTTGATCTGAAGAACACAGATTAGTTTGACCGATGCGAGCTGTCTGGCATCTCTTCAGGTTTCTGAATCTTCTAGTCATACGAAGACGCAGCCCAACGATGGATGGCGCATCCATGTCGCCGTCTCCTGGATCGATAGATGGAATGTGTGACTCAGGAGATTTTTTTCCAAACAGACTTGCAGAAGAAACAGGTCATTTCCGTTGCAGCTCCTACTCATATCGCGATCGAGCACTCCCTTTCAGGCACGTGGTCGGCGCCGATGCTGGCATTGTAGTCATCAAAGAGAATCAGTTTGTCTGTCTTCAAAAGAGGTGCCTTGAAGGCATCCAAGTCTTCCAATAAATTGTTCTCCACGCTATCGATGCTGGTCGTTGAGGTAGAGAGCGGCGTCGACACAGGCGCCCTTTGCGAATGCATTTCTGCGGATGGCCTATAGTAAGCAGGACAGTCGTATTACACCATTGTTCCTAATGAGTAAAGCAGCTGTGGCATCTCTTCAGTCTGCCTTTGGATAACCGTTCCAGATTGTGTATCTGTTGGGACGCCGCGCGCCCCATGATGAGTCAACGCCCTCAACGGAGCCGCGAGAGTCGCTTGCCGTCAGCCAGTCTTGTGTGCTTAATCCTAATTGGCCCCTTTGTCGGACAATGTCTCCCCCTTTTCCTTAAAAGTACATACACCCTGTGTCTGACGGACTTTGCGCTTGCTTGCACTGACGCGCTGTACCGTGCTCCTGTCTGAGTAGACGCTTTGTCTGGCCGACTTGTCTTCTCACTGTCTCTCTACTAGGGCTCTTGTGGTACCGGTTCGTGCTAATTAGAAGTACCAAGGCGGGTCATAACAGTATCCGACACCTTCTTCCATGAGGCATGATTTTTTGGTGAGAGATGGCCCGAGTTAGATTGGACCGCCTACTTAGTTGAATGTCACCAGCTCCTAGGGACGCTCTGTTTTGGTCGTGGGGATGGGGACAGGGATTAGTTAAAGGACCACCCGGTATGCGGACGTGCACGCCAGACTTCCTCGTTTGGTTTAACTCCGTGAACATGGAGCCAGGCATGAAAGTTGGGTGCCATTGCAGGCGAAATACAGTATTTAGCGATGCGTTTAGTGGGGGGCTTCATCGTATGGCTTATAAGTACTTGCTGCTATCGTAAACGTGTCTGTCTCTGCAGGTCTAAAGGACGTCGTCTGTGCTACATTTTCATGCGTTGTAATTGTTCGCGGGGTACCCTCGTCATTGTAATGTCAGTTTAACAACTTCGGTAAAGGTGCTTTAATCGTGGATCCTCGACCTCGGTCTCTACCCAAGACCGTTTGTGCATAAATACCGACCGGCATTTCGACCCTCGCTAATCAAGACGTCCACCACGTGCCCGTAGATTGCGCGCGGTATCGCACTACGCTTGAATTGTTTTATAGTGGGGCTTAATTGCGCAAAACCTATCACTACCTTTTTGCAAATTATTTCGTTCTGATTGCAGGAAAATGACACGACAACAGGAAGCGAGTTCGGGCGCAGTGGCTGGCGAAGTTTAAAAGCCACCATATGCATGCCACACACATACCTGGGTCCCAACTGTATGTACTAGGGCATGGAAATATATGCTGTAGGGTAGTCGTTTAATAATCAGGTTACGCGATATGCTCATCTTGTTGGGCCTTGAGGGTCAATCTTAGGCTGTCGCAAAACTATCACAATAGTGATGCAGAAGGAGTACCGAGGTGGTCATTTCTGGTTTACTAGCCGTCTTTAGTCAGTCCTACCAAAACGCAGATTTTTAGGACCCGAGATTCTGTGCTCGCTTCTGAATATGCTACTGGTTGCTGTGCAGCTGTCTCGAGGCACACCAAGAGACGAGCATGTCGTGTAGTCGTTGCCACAGCGGTGTGTGTGTGTGTGTGTGTGAACGACGCGGTCACGTTGGTAAATCCAGTTAAGACTCCATGTTTGTTTTATGCAACACGTATAAGACTACATTTGAAGTGCCCGATAGACTCTTGCACCGCTCATAGGATGACGTATGAGTGCTTGCAATCAGTGACCGATTTCAGGAAAGTTGAACAAAATGTCTGAAATGCGTTTTCGATTAAGAAAGATTACTCAAGTGGTGCTGTCATATGGGCCATCCTGTGGCGTAATCCCATAACATTTCATACACTTAAATATACCGGCTTTTGAATGCACTCCTTTTCGGCCTGCTGCAGAAACCGCATTCGGTAAAAGTTCGCAAATTCAGTAGTAGTACGCATTTTATTTATCGGTGTTTGAGGCACTTATAAATCCAATAATATTTTCGAGGAAACATGCCCACAAATATCGGTTCTTGTATTCGTTTGGTAATAAATCTCTCATCTCACTTTTATGTGCCCCGTGAAGAGTATTTTTCGGTTAAGAAAAAAAACGTCCTTTCAATTTAGGTGTAATGTTGAGCCCGATCTGCAGTTGTTTTCATGGTTAGCGTTTTCCGTCTGCAAGCTGTATGTTTTGCAGTTCCACTAGGGCTCTCCTCAAAGCCCAAGCTCGTTATGTGTCTATGGCGAACTAGAACGACAAAAGCATTGCTAATATTTCATGTTCATACTCCCAATATTCAATCACCTCACAGAGGTCTTCCACGTTAGTTGCCTTATCTTCTTAGCTCCTATCTAGTCCCTGCCTTGATGGAGCAAGGACAACAAAACCTGGTGTTCCGCAGTTTTTGTGGTTACCGTGTGAATATTAGGCTTTGCAAACTTCACCTATGCCGAAATCCCCTGAGTCTGTGT